CTGTCTAAAGTTGCAGTCCTCACTTCACTCTTACACACTCCTTATTTTTCTGTTTCATTTTACTCCTTCCTACTCTCAGACATGTTGTGTATTTTACTTATTTGTCTCTTCGCTGGCTAGAAAGAAAGCTCCCGGAGGGCAGGTGCTGACTCATGTTCATTGCCATTGCTGACATCGCTCCGTACTGACTTCCTGCCTGCTGTTGCCCCTGCTCTTCCCTCCCAGGTGGAGACTCTGCTTCTTCTGGCCCGCCAGAACCGGGCTGTAGCCCGCACAGCCCAGAATGAGCGGTCATCACGCAGCCATAGTGTGTTCCAGCTGCAGATCTCTGGGGAGCATGCGGGGCGAGGCCTACAGTGTGCGGCCCCCCTCAATCTTGTGGACCTGGCTGGGAGCGAGCGGCTAGACCCTGGCTTAGCCCTCGGTCCTGGGGAGCGGGAACGCCTTCGGGAAACACAGGCCATTAACAGCAGCCTGTCCACGCTGGGGCTCGTCATCATGGCTTTGAGCAACAAGGTGGGAATGGGGTAGGGGCAGGTGGGACCTGGGGCTGACTGTGCTGAACCCTGTCCAGTCCTAATCACTGGTCCCCCTCAACCTCCTAGGAGTCCCATGTACCGTACCGGAACAGCAAGCTCACCTACCTGCTGCAGAACTCTCTCGGGGGCAGCGCTAAGATGTGAGTGAAGGGGCAGGTGGGAGGGGTGGTGTGGGGACTGTAATGCTGGGGTCAGGTGGGAAAGGGGAAACCGTAGAGACCTGGTCCAGGCTCCACACGGCCACTAATGCTGGGGTTTGGACCCCCATCTCCTCTCTCCACAGGCTCATGTTTGTGAACATTTCTCCACTAGAAGAGAACGTCTCCGAGTCCCTCAACTCCCTCCGCTTTGCCTCTAAGGTGTGGTTACCACCAAGCCCAGGCCTTGTCAGGACCCCTGGGTGACTGTGGGTTTCTGCAGCTGCACCCCTTCTATCCTTAGGCCAGGGCACATTCATCCAGAAAGGACTTATAATGGCTAGTCATCTGCAGCTCACACCCATCTAGATAGATTTTTAACTATTGGCTTTTGGGGATTTTTAATTAAGCTTTTAAAAATAGGTAAACTGCATAGGAAGCTATACACTACCCCCATCCACCTTATTTTCCCCACCTGTCATTTTTAGTATCTATCATTTTACTTATTCTAATGTCCCTCCTCCTTATATAAAAGACTTCTCTCCCTCTCTCTCTTATATGTTATTCTGCATTTTGTTTTGCTTAACAAGACAGCCTCAAGATTACTCCCCACCAGCACACAGAGATCATCCCATTGTTTTCACACCTGCCTAGGAACTGTGTAGAAGGACTAAAGTTTATCCACCAGTTCCCTCTACTGGGCACTTGGACTGTTTCCCACACTTTATTACAAACAAGGCCATGTTGACTAGTCTTGTATGTATGTCATTTCCTATTTGTTTAATTACATCTAACTAGGGAAGGATGCCTTGAAATGTGATTGCTGGATCAAAAGAGACCCAGAGGTTTTTCAGACCATTCCAAATAGTGTGAGTTCAGGCTCCGAACCACACGAGGGTCAGCTGTGGCCATGGCCATGAATTCTCTAGGACAGTGGCCGCCAACCTTTCAGACCTCATGGACTACCAGTGGCCCGTGGACCACCAGTTGGTGACTGCTGCTCTAGGACACTTGTACTCCCTCCACTAGAATTAAGTCAGAAAGTGTTTTTACTGCCTGCCTCTGAAGGGTCATTTCTTTGCTCCGGTCACTCATTTTCCTGAGGCTGTAGCCCAGCGATGGATTCTGGCTTTTTTCAGGGTCTCTGGTCAGGTGTGCCCTCCTGCTCCACTGGGGCTTCAGCCTTTCTTGCTGCCATGGAAGTAGTCAGCCACCTAGGCACCCTTACCTGGTCTTTTGCTTTGATCAGTATTTCCCTTGCTACCTGGCAATTGAGTTAAAGTTGTATCAACATCATTAACACCAGACAAGATAAATATTTAATATCCTCCAATACCCAGCTTATATATATTACGTTTACCTGATTATCTCAGAAATGTCTTTTATACATTAGGCTTGTTCTGATCAGGATTAAAGCAAGGGCCACTCAGATAATTTAGCTGAAATGATCTCTTAACTCTCTCTTTAACCTATATTAACCCCATCCCCTTTGATGGTATTTATTTGTTGAAGAAATAGGGTCATTTGTCCTACAGAATAACCATATTCTGGATTTTAGCTGATTGTTTCCTCTCTCCTCCATAATTTTTGTTGTGGGTTTAAATTTCTTAGCAAGTAAACTTCCATGAAGTGGTACACTTTCTATCAAATCATATCAGGAAGCATCCAATATCTAGTTGTTCCACTTTTAATGATACAAATATTGATCATTGGATTTGGGTGTTGTCAGCCTGATCTATCCAGTAAGAACTCCGATCGACTTTTTCACCTAGTGATTTTATCAAGCAGGGATCACACCCAGGTCTTATTAGGTAATGTTAAAATGGCGAATTTTCTCAGTTCTACATTTATTAGTCCAGATTCTTCTATAAAATACTTCCCATCTATTTGGTTACTCTGAAATTCAGTCCATGTAGGAAAGGCAGAATAAATGCAGGAGTCTTTATCAATTTTCAGTTTTATAAATTGATACCCAGGCAACTTCTAAAGGTGACCAGTGAGTTTTTGTCAGGAGTTATCATTGTACAGATGCTTATGTATTTGCTATGTGTCCTTTGCAGGTGTCATTCTTCCTGATGTGCAAATTATACATCTTTGTCCATTGTGTGCTACTTCACTTTGGCTATGTCCTTTAAACAGGTCCCCAGTAGTCTTTATTCCAGGTTCATCTTGTACATTTCCTGCTCTAGTCTTGAAATCATTGATTTTCCTTGGTCCCTAAATGTTATTGTTCTATTTAGCTTATTAAACATTAGTGGTGGGAGGGCTAGAAATGAAAGCTCCTCCCGTCTCTGCTCCTGTACGGGACCTGCATCTGTTCTAGGCCTTTTCACCTCTTCCAGTCCCAGGAGGCCTAGTGAACTGACCATAACTGAGGCCAGCGTGAACCTGTCCTCAGAGCCTTACTTCAGTGTTCTCTGAGGGCAGCCCTAATATTTGGGTTGAGGAATGACCTTCGGAAACCGAGTCTCTTGGTTGCTCTGAAAACTTTTGTATTCTATCTATCCCCTCTGCCCACAGGTGAACCAGTGTGTTATTGGTACTGCCCAGGCCAATAGGAAATGAAGATAAATCCAGATCTTCCAGGGGTGGAAGTAGGGCCGAGAGATGCTTTATTGGGGTAGGGGTGGTGCCCTGTTACCCGGGCCTATCAAATAAAGAAAAGCTTTCTGTGTGTGTTTTTTTTTCCCTTAAATAAAGGTTTTGTTAGCAGTTGCCCAAGAAGGGTATTTTTCTTATCTGTAAAAATGGGAACTGTGGATCTGTCCACTCTACCCAGCATCTGTGCGTTTTGCAGGGCGAGAGCCGCCTCTTTTCTCCTTAAGCCGTACCTTGGGTTCTGGGTGGCTTTCAGCTCCCATACCCTCCCCCCTGTCCACACCTGGAGGTGCGCCCACTAGCCATCCACAGGCCTCCCTGAGGGGTGGGAACAGGGACCCAAGGACGGGCTGGCGCACTCTCCCACTAACCGCTGGCTCTTTCCTCCCGCCCTTTCCCGGTCCGCCCGTTCGAACGGCCAGGGCTGGCCCTGCCCCGCTGCCCATTGGCC